ATGGTGGAAAGGAGATCCTGGAAAAGAAATCATTTATTGTCACTGCAGGGTTGTCTTTGGGATAAACTGTAGCCCGTTTCTCCTAACTGCGACTCTAGACCATCACATGCGCATCCTAAATATCTAGCCACTAAACTTAAGAACTCGATGTATGTGGACAACTGCGTGCCCAGTGTCGATTCTCTTCAAGAACTGGACTACTTCTTAGTGAATCTTGCAAACTTCTGGCATCAGCCAAATTTGATCTTAGAGGATGGTGCAACAGCAGCTATTCCACTAGCATTGCAGTCAAAGAGGAATTTCCATTTGAAACTTTGAATATGAAAGAAGTACATGTACTAGGATTGCTCTGGAATGCAGAAGAAGATACTTTAATTTGTGATTTTAAAAAATTGGAGTTTAAAGATGAATCTGTAACGAAAGGAGTATTCTCTCATTAGCTCACAAGCTTTTTGATCCAATTGGGTTTACAGCCTTGATTCCCAAAATTATTTTACAGGAATGATGGAAAATCAAAGTTTCATGGGACTGTAAGTTGCCTGATAATAATGATAAAGAGTTTCACAAGTGGAAAAATCAACTTTTTGAACTGCAAAACGTGAAAATACCCCGAAGATTGAGTGAGTTCACACTCCATTCAGGAAGTTTATCCTTGCATGTTTTCTGCGATGCTAGAAAAAAATCCTATGCCCTATAAGTTGATCCAATAAATCCTATAAGTTGAGAGCAATGTAATGTAACCTGCCAGTTGGTTCAGGCACTCTGTTAAAAAAACATAACTATCCCTCGTATAGAGCTTTTGGTTTGCTGCATTGGAGCAAGGATAGCAGAATCCGCCAAGAAAGATCTGAAACTCGAAGATATAGAAAATCACTGCTGGACAGATTTCCATGGATACTTTATATTGGACTAGGACTGATGTACTATGGGTCACATTTGTTAAAAATAGAGTCAGAGAAATCTGAAGATTATCTTGTCCAAATCCATGGAATTTTGTTCCTGGAAATAAAAACATCCCAAACCTACCATTACGTGGTTGCTCCGCAAAACCTCATCTGCAGTCTGAATGGTGGAATTGTCCAGGGACCTGAACAAAGGTGGCCGAAAGACGAAATATTGCCCAATATAGATACAATCAATACAGAAAAAAAAAGACTATAGTTATTGCTACTAACGTAAAGGAGAGTGAAAAATTTTACAACAAGTACTCATCTTATTCGAAAATGTTGAGAATAACCGGAAAGATTTTTCGATTCGTTAAAAAATTCAAAGAAAGTAGAAAATGACAGAACCTTTGCAAAGCTCAACAATAAAGAATTGAAAAATGCTGAGAAAATTATTCTAAAGTGCGTCCAAAAGGATGCTTTTACAAACGAAGGAAATAAAAGAGACTAAATTCTTTGAAAACAATTATTGATGATGAAGGACTGATCAGAATTGAAACTAAGGTATCTATGAGAGAAAATAATTTTAATTTTCGTCTTCCATTAATTCGTCCCTCAGATTATATTGTGGTTAAAAATCTGATTTATTGGAAACGTAAGCAATTAGGACATCGTGAAGTTCAATTACTGATGTCCACATTACGTGGAGATTATTGGATCTTGAAAAACTATAAGAAATGCTATAAAATCCTGCGTCGTCTGCAAACGTTTTCATTCTAGACCTCCCAATGTCCCAGAAGGTCTTCTGCTCGAAGATAGAGTGAAGGATGCAGATGCAGCCATCTTTGAAATTGTAGGTAAAATGTAGGAACCTGACTGGTCCCCTCATTCTGAAAGATGGTAAAAAAAACATGGATTTTGATGGTGACTTGTGCTATATAATTTAGGACTGTTCACTTAAAACTCTTATCATCCCTCTCAACTGAAAACTTCATTTTGGGATTTAGATTTATCTCACGAAGGAGAAGACTGTCAGTTGTCTATTCAGATCACGGGACTAACTTCGCTGAAGCACAAAACCTTCAAAAAAGCATTGAAGCTAAAGATAGAATCCAATCTGTAATCAATTACCTGGAATTTCATATCCCCTCTGCTACCTGATATGGGGGATTTTGAGAACGTTTAATTGGCATGATGAAGATAATACTAAGAAATATTCTGGGTAGAACATCATTGAATTACGAGGAAATGGTTAACAGTTCTCTGTGACTGTGAGAGCCTAATGAATTCACGCCCCCTGACTTGTGTGTCCGATGATGTTGAAGAGCTTTCACCAATTAACACCTATGATGTTCCTCCAAGAAATAAAACAGGTGAGTGATGTAGATTTCGATATTTTAGATCAAGTAAAATTTAAGAAACGACTTGCTTACAGAAATGAAATTTGCCGAAACCTTCGAAAGAGATTCAGAACGGAATATCTTGGTCAACTTCGATAAACATCTTCAAAGACTAAAACTTCAGAAGCTCTGCAAGTTGATGACATTTTATTTTATTTTATAACCGTTGTTGAACAGCAGACCCAATTTCGGGTTTACGACTACCAATGTTTAATGTATCCCTGCGTCCCACAGTGGACTGATCGTTAAGACACGGTTCCCAGCAGATCACCGAAGTCACGCATCACTGGCTGCGGTCAGTGTGAGTGCTTGACTTCGCGTGCAGGTCGTCGGGCTACCGAAGCGGGTGTGCCATCCCCTCTGCATGTAATGACATGTCTTCGGATGTCTCCCAAACTGCCACCAATAGCCCATTGTGCAGCTCTAGTGCGACGTAAATGAACTACAACAACAACAACCGCATCCTGGTAATTTTGAACCCAATCCAGAAGACAAGGGAGTTCCTAGATCAGTACCCCCACAGATATTTATTTGTTATGGGAACTCGAGGACTTTGTGATCCTGACATATTTAACATGCATCAGTCACCATTTATTATCTTCGGTCGGCGGGGAGCGAACCCACGACCTCTTGGACATGAGCCCAAAGTTGGTGACATTGTGATAATTTGGAACGACAATGTGTCTTCTCGGGAGGATTTTAAAGATTTTGCCAAGAAAAGATGGGCATGTCCGAACAGCTAAGTTGCAGACCAAATCCAGAATCATAATCAGTCCTTTGAGAAAAAAACTTTGTCCTCAAGAAGTCAACTGAAGAAAACAGACTGAACAACTAAAGAAGCAAGTTCCTCTCCAGTGTGCTCCCCTGCAAACGCTTTCTGGACGACAAATGAGTGTTCCTGATCGATTTGAACCTCGATTCTGTGACTTTTTTTTATAGTTCAGTTGGTTACTCTACTGAACTCAAGAAGGGGAGTGTTGAGAATCCCCCGATACCCCCCAGTGAACAAATACTGAAACAAACATTCACGAACTCTTTCTCCTGAAAGTGTGTAGCCTAGAATTTGTTCAGAACAACGTACTGATTTTTCATCTGTAAATAGCTCCATTTTTATTTTATAATGATTATTAAATATAACTCTCTAGCGTCTTTGTTTAAAGTATTTTTCAGCATAGGTGTTAAATTAGTTATCTACAACAAAATAACCGGAAGAGAAAATAGAATCGAAACAAGGTAAGGTTCCTTGTATTGAAATATAATTTTCAATTTTTAGAAGTCTTTATTTGGTATCGTTATAAATAGCGTTAAAATGAGGAAATTCGAAGTCAATATTCTGTGTTACAACATGACCCATAATATTCAAAGTCACATTGGGGGCCCCCTCATAGGCCCATAATTATTTCCTTTGGCAGTGTTAGAGATTATTTCCTAGTGGTTATACATTATTCCCTCTGGTATACATAATAGTGTGTTAAATAGAGTTAAAATGAAGAAATTCAAAGTCAATATTCTGTATTACAACATGGCCCTTCATCTCCCATTAATATATAATAATAACCAAATCACGTATTTTATTAACGGGTACTAGTGCACCCTACCAGAAGAGATCATTATAGGCCTAATAGGGGTCCACAATGTGGCCCTATAGGTTTATATGTATATTATAATAGTGTGTTGAATAGCGTTAAAATGAAGAAATTCGATGTCAATATTCTGTATTACAACATGGCCCTATATCTCCCCTTAATATTCCAACTGAACTATGTATTATATTACCAGGAACTAGTGTACCCTATCAGAAGAAATAATTATAAGCCTAATAGGGGGCCCACAATGTGGATATTCGTCCATTTTTCCACCTAGGCGAATTTCCTACCTCCTTTCCTTACCTGTTGTATATTGAAGGCTCTGCTATTATTCTTTGAGTGATGGTCTTGGTACGAATTCTGAATGCTCTGAGTGGGCACTAGGCATGATTCTTTATCGCCTTCACGAAATCTTCACCAAACAAAACCATTTTTTTTTTTAATCGTCAGTCAAAAACGTAGAAGATTTCCGATTTCTGTTGGATAGTAAAACTAGTTAATAAAAGTGTTTTTTCGCTTACCTGACAAGGTAACTTTGATTACCTGATATGACATTTAAAAATATTTTCGTATCAGGAAGTAAGACTCCTCAGGTGAGTCACCTCGTCGTACGCTAAAATGAAGGGGTGTGCAATCCTGAGTTCCTTTACTCCCCTTATCATTATCTCATCCATATAAGATTCAGCTTCTAACCCCCGTATTCACCGTTGACACTTACCTAACGCGAAACACCCAGTTCTGAAACTCCCGTTTTGAAATATTGACCACTAGTCGATAAGTGTATTCTTTATTTTTTGATTGTCTGTTTCATAACTGTGGGTTTCTTAACCTGCTGTTAACTTGCACTCTGGTGGTAGATTTATAGCTTTATTAACAGTGTTTGTTTTCAATTTTAAGAAACATGTGGAAATTCAAAGGAAAATTGGTCAAAAAACAACCAAAATAGAACATGGATTTATGATGGAATTGGCGCAAATTCGGTGTATTTTAACCTTAAGTCTGCAACATGGTCAGCACTTTTGACAACAAGGGTTTTATATTTTTGTAGCCATTTTCTATGTAATCTAGAGCTCTACATGTCTCATTATATCTGGGCTCCCACTGTATTAAAAAAAAACAAGGCTAAAATGTGAACAAAAAAAAAGATAACATATTTAATTATTCCTATAATAAACCACAAATATTCTCTTTACAGTAGTCATTAATTAGTAGCTAATGGACATGGTTCCACAGGTCTTATATAATCTCTCAGCAGCTGATCGTGGTAGGCATGAATTCTGAAGGGTTTCAACTCGTAGAATATTCTCTCCTCCATGGGTGTCAGGTTTATTTCCAGATCTTGCAAGTTCGGGAGATCAGGATTCACGACATCAGTCTTGCTTTCCTACACATAAGAGTGAATCTAAGATTGATATTTCTTTAAATCAAATAGAAATTTAACTCATTTTTGAATTTATTAAATTCAATTACAGAACTTTGCAAATATAATGACATATATTTGAAAATGTTTAATATTTTAAACTGGGATAAGTTTGATAAAAAAACCAAAAAAAGCTGAAAAAAATAACCAAAACCAGAAAAACAATAAAAATTCTGCATCAAAGGGTTAGAAAGGAATAAGTTGTGATCACTTTATTATGATCTCCAGCTACCCATTAGTCAAATGATTTTTTTTTCTTTTCTGGATTGATTCCGAAGAAACGCTACAACATTTCAAATCATGGGTTGCAAAAACTGTCTCAATAGATGTTTGTCTTCTTGTCTTCGGATTGGTAAAAAAGTTATTAATAAAACAAGTCATTTAATTATTTATGATTAAATAAAAATTAAAGTAACAAAATGTGTTTACATTGCATGCTAAATAAAAGAATAGATATATTAGTCTTTTTTTTTTTTGCTGAAGTAAATTTATAACAACCTATTTTACCCTTGGCTATTTTACCCTCAATCATAAACAGGCCATTCTTACCCAAGTCTAATAAACTACTCATAATCACACTTTTTTGTCAATATAAACTACCGTAATTTATGGAAGAAACGCCACACCTATCGTAAACGCCACACTTGTGATAATGACACTTGAAAGAAAAAAATCATGGTAAACGCCGCACATGTTGTAAACGCCGCACTCATAATAACGATTTAGCGGCAAAAGTGAATATATAACATTAATTCCTTATAAATACTACTAATGTTTTAAATTAAAATATAAATAAAAATTTATAAATGTATAATTATAATAAAATCAAGAATGTAATCTGCTATTGTACATTTTGGACAAACTGCTCAGAACAACATGTTACAATCGGCTATTGGTGCCATCGTTAGGTAAAAAATTTAAATAACTATATTTATATTACTTTAGTATAAATGATTTTTTTACATTACAGTATATAATACAAAATTCAGCACTCATGGGACCGACGAAATTCCGTATTTCGGAATTTACAGAATTTCAGATCTCTTCCAGAAATTCCAATATGGCGCCCGTATATTACGATAATTCAATTACGCTGTTAATTTCAGAAAAACCAATAAATTTAGCTAAGTTTCAACTGTAGATTTTGATGGGGTGAATTTAAAACTGTCCCATCTTTAGAAATTTCATTAATTAAAATAATAATCTATAAGATATAATCAAGAAGAAATAATCCAAAGGATAAATAATTCAAGATGAAATAATCCGAAAAAAAATAATCGTTTCTTCTTCAGAGTGAGATCATTGTTCTCGTTTTTTCTTTTACATAACATTTTGTTTTAACAAAAGACGCTCTCCTCGGAAGAAGAAAAAAAAGCTAACAAGGAACTACAAAAAAGTAATAATTAATGGCAAGAAACTAACAATGAATAACTACAAAAAAGAAGCAAACAACTAATAACGATAAAAAAAAAACAAGTGCAACAAAAAAAGTAACAGTTAATAAGCAATAAAAAGATAAATAAATCGAATTTAAAAAAAAAATCAGCAAAAGGGATAGATTTCATTTTGTACACCAAGTGAGAAAGAAGTTTCAATGTCAAAAGGGTGTGGCTAATTTATGGTCAAACAGAAGAGGGAAATGTGGGGAGACAAACCAGTAAAGCCCTTGCATAGCTGTCCTGATTGATTCATCAGTTTCTCCCAACTTGCATTTATTTATTTTGTTCATTGGAAATGCAGATGTTTATATTTTTCAATTTCACCTTATTTTAAACTGCTTTAGGAACAGATGTTTTGTTTGACACAGATTTATTATTTTTTCTCTTCATGTTTTTATTTTTAAAAGATAAAATATAGTTACTTACTTCAAGAGAAAAAAATTCCAAATAAAAAGAAAATATGACTGNCTCCATGGGTGTCAAGTTTATTTCAAGATCTTGCAAGTTTGGGAGATCAGGATTCACGACATCAGTCTTGCTTTCCTATGGATAAGAGAGAATCTAAGATTGACATTTCTTTAAATCAAAAAGAAATTTAACACATTTTTGAATTCATTAAATTTAATAACATCACCTTGCAAACATAATGACATATATTTGAAAAAGTTTAATACTTTAAACTGGGATAAGTTTGGTAAACAACCAAAATAGCTGAAAAAAATAACCAAAACCAGAAAAACAATACAAATTCTGCTTCGAAGGGTTAGAATGGAAAAAGTTGTGATTGCTTTATTGCGATCACCGGTTTCCCATTAGTCAAATGATTTTTTTCCTTCCTGGATTGATTCCGATAAACACCACAACATTTCAAATCATGGGTTGCAAAAACTGTCTCAATTGATGCTTGTCTTCGTATTGGTTTTCAAATCCTGCCTATATATTTGTTTCAAGAAGTCACAAAATACTTTTCCTTCTTCAGTATTTATATTTATATTAAAATCACCGTCAAGACAGTAATTATAAGTTAATAATAAAAATAATATAAAAATAGAATTTCTGATTCTTAATTAAAACAATAAAAACAAAAATATATCGTTCAAATGATGAAATTCTCTTTTATTCACAACTCAAGAAGAATTTATGGGACCTCTTTGGTCCCATATCCCAAAAATAAACTCACCAACTTAATGCATTACAAAATTAAAAGTGAAAAAAAGAATTATAAAAAATAATCAAACAGCAGCAGTTGCCATAGCAACGCATGCACACTGTTTACTATTACTCTTGAACATAGTTGAAAAGTGTGATGACGTCCAAATAAGGTGCGCATGTCATCCAACCCAAAACAACACCCATTTTGCCAATGGGTAATAGAAATATGAAATGTTATGTAGATAACAAATTTTTGAAAAATTGTGAAATACCTTAAATTAGTGCAGGAAAAAAAGTGTATGTAGGAAGAATATTATTAAGAATTTATCCACAGAAAATTATTAACGTTTTAATAAAATATATCGATGTGCGATTTTTCATTCAAATTGTGAGAATATAAATTTCAGTGTGTTATTTTTAAATTGCGATAATATGAATACTGATGTGATGTAAGATTTTTAAATCCCACAAATATGTATCGCGATGACTAATTTCAAATTTATAGTGAATATGAATCACGATGTGTACTTTTAAATCGCGTGAATAATTTCAAATCACGTTTACATACAAGAAAAAGGAGTCTTCTTTTTTGGGGGGTTGGGGGGCGATAGAACTCGAAAAAGCATAAAAGCGAAAATTTTCTTCTCTTTAAATTTAAAAAACAAAACAAAAAAAAGCAAAATTCCATATAAAAGCAGAAAAATCTCCATGTTTAAAGAATAATAAGAATGTGTTTAATAAAACAAGTCATTTAATTATTTATGATTAAATAAAAATTAAGGCAACAAAAGTGCTTACATTGCATGGTACGTAAAAGAATAGATATATTAGTCTTTTTTTTTTTGCTGAAGTAAGTTGATTTTTTAAACAACCAATCTTACCCATGTCTAATAAACTACTTATAATCACACTTTTTGTCAGTATAAACTACTTCATTTTTGTACGGTCATCACACTTTAACCCCTTTTAAGCCAAGCATAGAAATTTTATAAAATGCAGTACAGTCGAACTCGTTCATAACGAGCTCGGATTTAATGAGAACTCGGATTTACCAAGGGAAACGAGAATTTTTGGTTGGATCAATGTTAAGTCTATGGAACAGAAGTCGCTTTTAACGAGCAAGACCCGGTTTTAGCGAGCAATATTTTTCTGTCTTGCAATCTTTTTTCTCATCTTTCTAGTCTTTCTGTCTTATCTTTTTTTCAAAATGATAAAGAAATGCGAGGGAAAGGGGTTAGTTGTCTTTAAATTAAGAAAAGTATTTAATTAAATTAATTAATGTAATTAAAGTAAGTAAGCATTATTTAAATTTTAAGTAAACTCAATCATTTGACCTCCCAAGCCTCCCTGTCTTAAGGACCCGTTTATTACGAGCACTCGGATTTAACGAGTACATATTACGGTCCCTTTGTGCTCGTTATAAACGAGTTCGACTGTATTTTATAAAATGCGGTATTTATTAAAATATGCTTAAATTGAATTAAGACGCAAACAAAAAAAAATCTTGTGCATGAAAAATATTTTGTTTATGAAATAAAATGGTTCGTATACACACCATTGGCCAAATCAATGGACAAACCATAATTGAACACTAGTTTGTTTGCTTTTTATGAAATTTGTATTACTTGTACAACTTTTATTCACCATAAAAACATATGATGAACCTCATATTAAATATTTATTTATTTTCAAAAAGTCTAATTTGTCAGTGACAGTTTCAAGTTAAAAAAATACTTGCATATTTTGAAAATTTCTCAACAAATTGTGTTTACACAGATTAAATTATTAATATTTTATAGATCACTTTAGGACCATTGAGGAAACATAAAATTAGCAAAATAAATATTCCACAGTGTTAATAAAATTTTTTTTGATGTGTTTACACACTTTTGAGCAAAAATAAGTTAAACAAGTGTTAATTTTGAGTCAATATTTACAATGAATGCACAAAAATTTTACCCATTTTGAAGTGTGATCATTAATAATTAGAAAAATATTGTATAACAAAGGATAAAAAAAAAAACAGCAAAAGGAAGTTTCTCTCCTCCTTTACTAAGGTTGATTTGTAGCAACAGAGAATGTGCAATATAATAATGATGTGGTATTTAATAAATATAAATGGATATAAAGCAAATTATGCTGCAGAAATATCAATATTTAGTCAATATAGCACAAATAATTAAATATACAGATATTGTAATAACTAACATAGGATTAAAATATATTTAATTAATTTAGATAGAATTATCAATTATTTTACGATGAAGGTTAGTTTAAGTTATTTATTGAAAATTTGAATTAAAGAACAATTTGAAAAAGAAAAAAAAAGAAAGAAAAAAAAATATGACAGGGTTGCCACTCAAATCTGGAAAAAAAATTCTCTGCATTTTCCCTGTTATTTTAGGTGATTTTTAAATTCCCTGTATTTTCCAGGTTTTCAATGTGGAGTGGCAACCCTGATGAAACACATTAAAAGATTGACTAAAGATCAGAAATAAGGGAATAAAATACATGACAAGTAAATAAGAAACATTAAAGGAAAAATGTTTCAAAACTTACTCTTTCTAATCTTCCCCAAGAGAGAGTTCGGTAGCGTGGGAGAACTTTTTCTGCAATAAGCAATCTAGGCCTAAGAAAAGTCAAATCATTAGTCAATGATTGACAACATTTCTTAAATAAAAAATTTAAAGCTTGCCATAAAACTTTTTAAAATTTTAGAATAAATCTAAATTTGAAAATTCAAAAATATAATTAAAATTTAGATCCCATTTTAAACACATTTTGGTTGGATCATCAGGCTTATATAGCCAGGGAATAATTTATTAGTCAGAATTTAATGCAGAAAAGATATTATATGATATCCAGATTAGAATAAAAATGATGAAAAAAATGAATTTTATAACTTAATAATGCCATAAAGAAGTTTACTTTAAGCGATAAAAAAAAGACTTCTTTTAGGATCTAAACCAGTGGCCTGTCTTCTGATTATTACAAACTATTATTATTTTTTTTGGGCAGAATAAGTTCTTACCTGCCTCCTTCCAATACAAAATTCACATGTTTCAGATATTTTTAAAAATTTTACTAATTAAAAAGCTATTCAGGGTGAAAAGTTTTCCAATAAACACATTTTACATTTTCAATGGAATTTTTATGTAACAAGATGAAATATCAAATGATGATAGCGAGTAATTAAATTTCACTTAATTATTGCAATAATATCGGGGGTAGAAATAAGAAAATTTAATCACTGGTTTGCTAACCAGTTTCACGAATCATCATTGATTTAAATTTAGCTAAGTTAAAAAAAGACAAAAATATCCTTAAAAAAAAGATGATGTAAATAAACTTTAAGTTAAACTAATTAAGTTATTAAGTTAAACTTTTTCGATTTTTTTTTTCTTCAAGTGAGAAATTTTGAGAATTATTATAAATGTGTATTTAATTTTGCTGTACTAATTAAACTGTGTAGAATTGTGTAGTAACTTTTTCTTTTGTATTTTTTCTTTTGTATTAATTTGTGTATTTAATTTTTTATATTTTTTTTCTTCAAGTGTGAAATTTTGAGAATTAGTGTGAAAGTGATTTAAAATTGGATGTCTGTCACGCCCATGCTGTGGAATATTAGAAATATAACTGAACAACTGTGTAAAAAACTATGAAGAGACATTGATGTAGGCATAGATGCCAAATCCATGAACCACATTAACAACTATAAACTATAATTTAATAAGTATAAAAAATTAAAATCATAGCTAAGACATTTCTGAGACTAAGCAAGAACAATTAACTTTTTACATTATTTGCTCAATAATTTGTTAAAAGAATACAACTTCAACAGCTAAGCAAGCAAAAACTGGTAAATTTGTTATTAGCTCATTATTGATGGGGAAAAAAATTAACAAGATTTTTACTTTCAATCAAATAAACACTTATTAACATAAGGTTAAATAAACACTTCTTAGTTTATAATCTTTAAGAAATTAATTATTTAAGCATGAAAAATCTGAATTCAGAAAAAATAAAAATAAAATAGTACCAAAATGTGGGATCCATTCTCAAATCTAATCTATAATAAAGCCTTTCCCTCGTTCTCAACATGATGCGGTGGAACCAATCCATCAATTCTGAAAGCTCATAACGATGAGGCCTGTCATGAAATACATATAAATGGAGTTTTAAAGAAAATACTAAAAGCAATAAAATAAAAACATACATAATACAAACACATTAACAGGAATATACACTCTCTTCAGAAAAATAATAACCGTACAAGGTTGGTAGGAAATCATGATTTTTTTCCTCCAAAAAAATTAAATAAATAAATTTATATCAGATATTTTTGATTTTTTTACACTTCAAAAAAATCATCAAATAAAATTTATTAATAATAAATCACATTACTTCAAAATACATCACAGCTGGCCAGACAGCCCAATGTGAGCCAATGCCTTCCTCTGAAGATTTCTCCATAACGACTTCCGATTTATCATTGATCCCCAATTTTTTTCATTAATTGCAAGAAAATCAGACTCCACCGAATCAGCACATCTTAACCGCAGCCCTCCTCGCTTTCTTGTTCCAGTGGGTCTAACAAGCAATATGCTTTCTACCGTATTATCATCACTCATTCGAATCACGTGAGCCATCCAATTCATTCTATTTATTTCTATGTATTTAATAACATCAGGTTGTTTATAATTCTTGTACAGTTCAAAGTTAAATCTCCTTCTCCAGTTATTGTCTTTATTTACACCATCAAGTATACTTCCCAAAATCTTTCTCTCAAGTATTGAGATACAATTTTCCTCCAGTTTTGTCATAATCCAAGGTTCAGAAGCATACACCAAGACAAGCCTGGCAAGAGTTTTGTAAATTAAGAACTTTGTTTTTCTAGAAAGAAACCTAGATTTAATAAATCTTCTCAGCCCATAGACAGCCCTATTTGCCAGTTAGTCAGTTTTCTCTTTCAGAAGACATTCTTTTATCAATGGCAATAATTAATCCTAAGTAAATAAAACTCCTTACTGTTTTCAAATTTATAAAAATCTATTTCAAGATAGGGGTGTGGGACTCTGTTTCTTGAGAATAACATATATTTTGTTTGCTCTACATTTATGACTGAGACCATATGTATTGCAGCCAACTCAAGGGCAAGAAATGCCTCTTTTAGGGAATGAAGGGAACGAGCAATTACATTAACATCATAAGCATATGCAAGTAGTAGAACTGATTTAGTAAATGCAATACAATTTGAAAACAATATAGTTAAAATCGATGATATTGAAATGTTTGAAATCATTATTTAATTGTTACAAAGTAACCATTGAATAAATAAAATCACAGCTATTTCCGTTCAAGCTCAAAATCCTAAAATTTGAGAAAAAGAAGGCAGTTTTGTCAGTTGGATAAATAATGAAAAGTAAATTAGTTTAGATGAAAAAATATAAATGAAAAAAAAAATTTAAGTTTCTCTGAACAAAGCAAGTCTTTTTTCCATTAATGACATATACTAATGACATATTTAATAAGTGTTATATTTGGGAATATATTTATAAATTGTACTGTATAACAACATTTTCATCTTATAATCAAACGATTTAAATCATGCCAACCTAGTTAGCAGGCTGATATTCTTATCTACATAAGCAAGAGATTAAAAACCAAATAAATTAGAACCTCTTTATTCTAAATATTTCTGTTAATCTGAGTTGATTATAATTTTTTTCACATGCATCTAGATTTCTTTTTCTTTTTTTCAAATTCAATAATATGGTATCATAATTCTGCTATACATGAGGTCTTAAAACTAAAAAATATTTATTGTACTGCATGACTACATAGAATTTAATATTTTAAGAGAGTAATGAATAACTATTTAACTATTTGGAGAAAGGCTTTTTTTTATTAATTTAAAATTTTTATTCTTTTATCTGTCTTTTCATTTTTGTTAGTGTAGTTCAGTTTGACCATCATTTTTGCTATGATTTCATCTAAAATGAAACATATGTTATTGCTACAAGAAAAGAATAATAATATTGTAGTACAGATAAAATTAGGAGAAAGCCTTACAAAGCTGGCAAAAGAATATAAATTCATCTTCGGAAATCAATAAAATTCCACAAAAGATTCAGAATGAAATCCTGTTTTGTACAAATAGTTTATTATGCACAGTAGAAGATCCATATAATGAATGTACATGTAATGTACAATGTGGAATGTACATACGTACAGTAGAAGATCTATATTATGTACAGTAGATGATCTATATAACCACAATTCTCCACAAATCGCATTAACTTTGCAGATGTGAGTAATGAAAATCACAGTTAAAAGAATTTCTGTAACTAAGTAAGAACTATTAACTTTTTACATTAATTGTTCATTTATTTGTTAAGAGGTTATGATTCAGAAACTATGGAAACCAAATTTGCAGAATTTATAATTAGTTCTAATGCAGTAGAAAATTTCTATTTTTTCCTCCTGTAAATAATAAATACTTAAGTGCAAATGTATTTCAGAACTTGTACCCAAAAAAAAATTTTTTTTACAACATTTTATGATTGATTTGCTACAGACTAATATTACTGCGAAGTTGGTAGGTAAGTTTCAAAATAAGTGAAATAATCTAAATAACGCAAAATTTTGTAACACATTTCAAGGTTATGTTTTTTTTACAGAGTAAAAAAAAAAAAGGAAAGAGATACAACTAAATGGCATAATAGTGCATATTTTCGAAATTAAATGTATTTTAATAAATTAAATATTTTTAATAATTAAAATTAAATATTATATAGCAATATCAATAAAAAATAACATCATTAATCAGTTCATTGATGAAAAGTAAAAAAAAAAATTTACTTGGTATTAAAAAAATTTATAGTAAGGTAAAGATTATTAAAAAATAATAAACATTTATTCTTTAAAAATTATTTTTTTACCGTTTCGTGTTTATTTAAAAACATAATACAGATTAATTATAAACCTGCACAGCTAATAATGCCATGATATATGAAATGTGGTAGTTAATATATGGAAACAATTCCTTACCCAACTGCTTGGAATGTGTGCCCTGCTGCATCAGGATCACATACAGCTTTTACAATGCCTTTGGCAACATCTGAACCATAAACTGGCTGTTTAATAATGCCAACTCCTTTCTTCCAAAGGGACATGGCACGCCAAGTTCTCCTAGCTAAGAGAAGTTTTTTTTTAAAACATTACTAAGCTTAATATATAAAATGACAGTACTGCATTCACCTTCCATTGAAATATTACAAAATATTAATATTCTCTAAAAATGTTCCACTAAGAATGTTATTATTTAACCTGCACTATATGAATGAATCGTTAGCATTTATAATGTGCATGATGTTTGCCTGTTCCTAACCTTTTTTGGGACACCAGCTACTTTGCAAATTTACAGTTTTAATATTATTTTACAGGGGAAAAAAAGCAATGAATATAGCAATAAATAATTATTTATTTTTTTAATCATTTTTAAGTTCTTCATATTTTTGTTATAATCTTTTATCATGCCTTGAAGTCATTGAAAATATACCTAACTAATTAATATTAAAAAACAATATTTAATTAATTATTATATTAATACTATTATCATAGAATCCTACTATAGTAAGTGAAGATCCTATCATTAGATCAAGAGTTATTCAGGGTGGTCTATTTTATTTTTTGTGAACTTTACGTTAACATAGAAAAATAATAGATAAATAAATTTGAGCGATTGTGGACAACAAGTAGACACACTTACCAATATTGTTGTAATAATAAATGAAACTGTCTTGCTGGCCCCACATATCTGATGGCCTAAATATAATGGCATCTGGAAACTCTTCCCTCACTGCTTGTTCACCTTCCCACTAAAACAAATATTTAAAAATTAAAAAAATAAAATTACCTTCTTTTCTGATATATAAATCCATTTTTTGAACCCCTGAATTTCAATGAAAATTTGGGGTAGATTTATACATATGGATACTATAATTTCTTTTGAAATTTGATTTTAAAAAAAATTAACATAATCTATAAAATAAATGCAAACAAAAGAAAAGTAACACTACTACAGCACAATCAAAATATTTATACATATTTATAATAAAAATAAAACTTTTTACATGTCATGGTAAGGGTTTCACTCTACAAGCACAGCTGCCAACTTTTAAATAATTTTTTTTTTTACTTTATTTAGAGTGACTGCAAAATTAATAATCTCAATTTTGACAAAATGAAAAAAAAATATTTCTGCCAACAATTTTAATATCATCGCCACTTTGAAAAATTATCTTTGGAAAGAGAAAAAGTTGGCAATTCTGTAAGAGATTTTACTTTGTCTTCCTTTGACTACCAAAAAATATCATTTTTGTGATCCTTTAATGACATGAAAAGGACATAATATTTCTTGAAATATTTCATTAATTTTGCATTAACATTTTTCCATGAATTCAAAATAATTTGGCTTCAGGGGTGACAAGTTCCTTCCATGTTGGAAAAAAGCGCCTAGAAAAAAATTGTTTTTCTTTCAACCCAATTGACAAAAACTCTCTATTTAAAAAAAAAGATACCTAATATTAAAACAATTTTTAAACAGTTTTATATCACAATCTAGTTTGAATTATACAGTCAAGCCTTGATCCCTCATTTCTGCATCTTTCATTTTCCTATGTGTATCATCTTGTTTTACCGGCCAAATTACAAGCGCCATTCTTATAATTTTACTAATTCCCATTAAGATAGTTTCAGAAACTAAAAAGTCCTGTGTCTATCATTCAGAAATTTTACCCACATTTAAAAACAAATTAAGTTTTTTTCATTTAAAGAGCAAAAATAGTAACTCTTGATGTTAATTCTACAGTTTTGGGGAAAACACCTCAGATATCATGTGTAATATTTATGCATCCTTTGTTTAAAACGTTGAAACTTATTGTATGATGGCGGTTTAAAAAATTATTGCAGAAACCGATCAGTTAGAAATCGCACCAATGAAACAGAACCATGATTAAAGCCCACATTTGCAGAAGACTTCAAAACTTATAAACAATTAGTAACTTACTATATTCACAAAAAAACAACAACAAAAAAAGAACAGCAATCTATTTTAAATGTCAAAAATGTATTGCAAAAATGTAGAAGAAAATAATTTATTCGAACCAAACAATTAACTGTAAATTTTAGATAAATAAACATAGCTACCAACATAAATAGGAAAAAATCCAGTAGATTTTATGAAATAAATATAAATTTCATGATAATTATCGCAAAATGTACTTAAAACTTTACACATAGGGAATTTTAGGGATTTTTATAGTTATCAAAATAGAAAAACTGCAATATTTTCCAGTTACGATTAACATTAAGTGAACTTGCAATGTTATGTATTATGTTTACTCATAATTTTGAATAGTAATAGGTATTTAATTCATCAAAGACAGTTAAAAAATTATTTAATTAATTAAAAAAGAAAGCTATGAATGTAAATAAACATTTTAGAGCAAAAAAAGTTTTAACTAATATTTATAAATGAGGCTCACTTCATTAGGTATTAGTAATACTTATTTAAATATTCAAGGAAGCAATAATCTGCAAAAAATTTCAAATTCAACAGGGATTTTTTTAGGGAAACTTACCCAATTTTAAGGATCATTCTAAATTATACAAAAGTCAGGAAAAACTGGCAAAATCCAGTAGTCCACTGGAAAAACCAGTAGAGTTGGCAGATATGAATAAATATTTTTATTCATCTTTCTTTTGCATTTTAAATATTTTTGCAATAAGTACATAATCCTCTCAAATGTTCGATTTCTCAGTACATATTTGTCTCAAACTTTGATGTTATTAAAAGTCACAAAAAGAGGTTCAATTAGTTCTGTTACATAACAATCTCTATTAGGAGAAGAATAAGCACATTTCAAAACAAAGATTTTTTAGATCTTGAACAAAAATGAGACAAATATTTATGCTTTGGGTCAGTTAACAATTAACTTCGCTACATCACAAAATATAAAGATGACTAGCTGTCCTTTTAAATAATACGAGAAACAGTCATTGGTTGACCCACAACTCTACATGATTGTTAAAAAATGGCTAAGATTCGTGATTTAAATTAATATCCATAGATGGTGCTGTGTCAATGAATTATTCCTTCTCATATTTTTGTTAAATTTTTTATTCTCTCTTATGCTGTCTGTATGAAATAAACGTTTTGTTCGTTGCTCCGTAGTCATTTTATTTTGGAATCCAAGTATCTTTACAGAACAATTTAATAATGATAGTTAAGATTACCCAACACTTAATATTTATCCTACAGATTTATTATAAAAAGAAAACATTTAAAAGCATTATAACATATTAAATTGAAAAGAAGGAGAAAAAAAATTCAAAAGTAAAAAATCACCTTTGAGGAATATAATCCTGAGCCTTTCTTGCTTACAATGGGCTTTGGGTTTTCTGACGCATTTAGAGTAGAGACATGGAGTAATGTCTGCACTCCAGCTTCCTTAGCTAAACGAGCAATATTTCTTGCACCTGTCACATGCACATCCTTATACTTGAAATTCCTTGAAGTAAAGAAAATAGTAAAATTCAGAATTTAATGAAGATTTAAGCAGGCTTGTTGCAAAAGATTCTGCTAACCGCAACCTAGAAAAACACCATTACCTTAAAAAAATTTCAATGTGAAAGAGCATTAAAATAGTGCTAACATATTTTTTTATTAATAATGCACCAGCACCCCAATTTTAAATCTAATTTTCAGTTTATAAAAAAATTTCAGTTGTTTAAGCATTTTCAATATTTAGCTCTTATTTAATTGAATATTTAATTAGTTATTAAATAATTTATTAGCTATTAAATAATTAATTTTAATTAATTATTTAATAGTAAATAAAAGCAAATTTGAAGTTTAGGGCAAACAGGGCAATCGGCTAGGGCCATGCACCAGAGAGATAATAATAAAATAAAAAACAATTGAATAGGAAAATAATTCAAATAATAAAATAATTTTTAAAAAAAATTGAATTTTTTTTAATGCAATTGAAACTGAATTTTATTATGGAGAAAGAAGTCTTAAGTGCCATGCACAAAAATCTTTATAAGATCAAATTAAAAAACAGTATTTATTTTAAAATCTTTAGATTATTTCAAATATTTTTTTTCACTTTTAAGAATCACCAATGTTATAGACATACGATATTAAAATAAAATTGTTCATTTTTAATAATTAAATTTTAAAAAATAGAAAAAAAAATTTAAAAAATAAATAAAAGAAAAATGAGAGAAAATAATTTTTTTTTCAGTAATCTAGAGTCCTAAATAAATATTTACAAAAAAAAATGCAGCAAGAAGAGTATTTAAAGGATCACCACAAATATAAAAATGGTTCTAACAAAACAAATTTAATTGCATATAGATACATTAATTCTATAAATTTATTAGTGTTTCAGCTCATTTATGGCATTGAAATTCGAAATATTTTCAAACTTTAAACTGTCTGTTTATAAAAACAGTTTCTTTTTAAAATCAAAAGTTCACAGAAAGAAAGTGATTTTAAATGAAGACGAGCACTGTATTTATACAGAGCACTATTACAGAATTATAAGAATACTAAGCAATGTAATTTGGGCAATAACTCAAATAGGCAAATTCTTTTTAATTATCTTATTTCATACTTAACTAAGAGACTAAAATTGAATAATATCTATGACATATAACACTTCATAGAGCTTTAGATATCAGATAATTATTCAAAAGAACATTTTAATCATTCATTCATAAAAATAATAACTCACGGAGTCTCATAATCTCTTCCTATAAGATTTATAACAATATCCGAGTACTTCATAGCTTTTGCAATGCTTGCTTCATCTTTAAGAAAGAAAGGCTAAAAGAAAAATTGCATTAAGAGGCAAAGAATACTTCCAGCACTATAAATATATTACAATCTATGTAAGAATTTCCCTAATTGTATTTGAGCTCTGCAGCCTCCAAGTAGTGACAATGAAAACAAAAATGTATACTTAATTTAAACAAGATCAATATTTAGCCTTGATATTTCTTTTTGAAAGTATCAATACTTTTAGTTGATACTAGGGAAAATTTGACTTTTATTTATATAACAATATAAATATATTAGATTGAGTTATATTTTATTTACATTTATTACCTCAGTTCACAACAATTTACAATTAAAATTTCAGATATAAAAAAAAAAAGCTTCAACCTGATTACTTACAATGAGGCTCGCTTTATAACGCATTAGCAATACTTATTAAAATATTCAAGCAAGCAATAAATTCTATTTCAATAGGGACTTTTTTTTTAGGAAACTTATTCAGTTTAAGGAATTTTCGAAAATGTTCAAAAACCAGGAGAATTTTATCAAACCAGTAGAAACTGGCAAAATGCTGTTGTCTACTGTAAATCCAGTAGAGTTGGTAGCTATGCATTTTTGTATTATTAAAAGAACAAAAAAATTTTGGAATACCTTTAGTTTGTGAAGCACAAAAGTGATTTTCTAGAATATCAAAAAACAAGTTTTGTTATCTTTTCCCAAAATTTCGACTAACACAGAAACGCAATCAACATAATATTAGGTGTTCAAAAGGGAAATAATTGAAATGTGACTCAAATGAGCTATTTCTGCATGAATCAAGACGTTAGCAACAATTTTACCTTGGCTCTAGTTGGGCTCAAAATTAGCTCAATATGTGTCCTATAAGAACATGCAAGGAGGGACCAATATTAGGATGTACAAATTATTTTAATACTAGTCCTAGAATGGCCTATATTGGTCCTAGAATGAGCAACATAGGGCCAATATTAATAGAATACTGATTATGAAATATGGGGTGACTCTGACAATTTTATATAGGAAAATATTGGTTGTAAAACAACGGGTGAATCGAACAATTCTATATGTGGGCAATATCGTAAAAATTGTAATTTTGCTGCTAGGGGATGTAGTAACTCTTAAAAAAAGATATCTATACACACTTTGTTGAAGACAAGTGTTTTTTTGGTTTATCAAATTCTACAGTAGAAGCCCTAATCCTATGCAAAATCCTTAGTATAACAGAAAATAAATTTTACAAACCAATTGAATAAATTTTCCGGAATTGTAAAAAGCTGAATTCAATTATTTTAAAAAAATTTTATTTCTTATTTGAACTATTGCTTTTTTTTTTTTTACCAAACATGCCTTTCATTTTTTAGCTCAAAAACTATTGGATAAAACAACATGAAAATTTGCACAATTCTAGAGAAATCCTGTTACTTTATGATAAAGTTTTTTTGTTACTTTATGATAAAGTTGATATCTTTCTTTCCAAGCACAGTTAAATTTAACAAAAATATTAGCAGAGCAATTATGATATTTTTTGCAAACCAAGAACATAGGTTTCTGCTACGAAGCTTCTGAGCAAAAACTAAAAGAGTAAATTTCAATTTTAAAAATTTTTTGTTTTGAATTTCTATGGAGATTTTAATAGTGGTATTTTTTAGGCTATGAACAAAGTTATGATACATCATGCATAATCATGTAAGTCAAAAAGAGAAATTCAAAATTGGATATAATATAAGCACTTACATTTAGCGAGTAAAAAATATATACATAATCGAAAAAAGATTTTTTTTAAACCATTATTTTATAACTGTCGTTAACAGCTGACCCAGTTTTGGGTTTATGACTACTAATGTTCAACTCCGTAGCCTAGTAATTTTGTACCCAATCCAGAAGACAAGGGAACTCCTTGATCAAGTATTGGACATGCCTTTGTGGTGGACTTTTGATGGAACTAACCTGCATTTGCATTGCAGGAGAGGAAAGCTACGAAAACCTCCCACTGTTAGCCTGACGGCAATAGGACTCTAACTCTTGATCTGTCTACCACTGCGAATATTTTACGCCAGCACTTTGGTTTGGATGGATGCGCCATTCTTATTGATCAGTCATTGTTGGGATTTGAATCCAGTTCACCTCATTGGAAGGTGAAGAATCTATCTCCTGAGCCATCACGGCTCGACTTAAACTATTAACACTCAACATACTGCAGTACTAGCAATGACACTATCTGTTGAGGAATAAGATAAGTATTTTTGCCAGTAGTATTTTTGAAGAAGTATTTTGGATATTTTATCCCCCCCCCCCAAAAAAAAAAATTTTTTTTTTTAAATTTCTNCGAAAAACTTGGGAGAAAAAATTTTTAAAAAAAAATCAAACGTAGTGGAATCAGAAAAACAGTTTTGTTTTTCTGATTCCACTGCGTTTGATTTTTTTTTCTTTTCACGATGAATTTCGCACTCAATAAATTCTTTTTATTCATAAATTTTATCATTAGTTTTTTTTATTTTTAAAAATCCCGTTGATCTTGCCTTGTACCGGGTTTTAATATTTATGCTAGTGCCTTTTTTAACTAACGTTTCGATAATTTTCAAGTGTTTTTATTTAGTTTTCCTTTTATTTTATTGTTCCCCCCCCGTTTAATTAGGTATGAAATATATTGCGTTATTTAATCATTGGTTTTGTTTATATAAGTTAATTTAGGAATTGTAATTATTTTTAAAAAATAAATATGAGAATTTTGTATTTTTTAAACTTGTTTTTCTTGTCTAAACTTGTAAATTTTTTATTCTTTTAAATGTTATATTTCTACCATTTTTTTTTTTCTCTTTAAAGTTAGGAGTACCTTTCTTTTTTCTCTTACTTTATTCATTGCACTTGTCGGCATTGCAGATAAAGTTCGATAAACAAATTCGTTAATTAAAATCCATATTAATAAAAGTGCAAAAAAAAAAATATGCAAGAAAATTTCAGCATATATTTTGAAAAGAGGGGAGGAGTGGGGGAAGGAGGAGAGGGCCCAAAAACGGCTATGCCTAGGGCCTACGAAAAGTATAATCCGGCTCTGTGCCTAGGGCCTACGAAAGGTATAATCCGGCTCTGACTGCAGTACTAGCAATGACACTATCTGTTGAGGAATAAGATAAGTAATTTTGCCAGTAGTATTTTTGAAGAAGTATTTTGGATATTTTATCCCCCCCCAAAAAAAATTGTTTAAATTTCTTCACTACCAATAAGAAGAAATTTGAGAATATATGAGCAAACAGGTGATAGTTGTAAAATACAGGAGTCTTCATTAAAAAACAGGAGACTTGGCTCAATTGGTAAAATCTCCCATTGAGAGGCGGAAAAAGCAAATTGAATGCTCTGAAAGGAAAAGAGCCGCAGTTCCGATATAAAGTAGAGTGTAACCTTCAATGCTAATAATTTAATACCCTTAATAACAGTTAACTTTAAAAGATACAAAAACTGGATACTAAATAAGACTTAGAAAAAAAGAATGAGTGAAGCTAAAGCTATCTGAAAGAAACTGTGTTAATAGTTTAGGAGTTTGGTGAGGGAAAGCTTCATTGTGAATTTAAGTCATAAAATAGTAATACACATAATTATAAAATGAATTAAAATATAAATTTAGTAGAAAATGAAGCTTACTGTAAACAGAATTTGTCCCAAATCACCACACAATTTCAGCCTCAGAATATTATAGGGATCTGTTCTGTAAGGAATGACAACCTGGGTACCCATTTTTCCTAAAAAATTAGTTCATTGTAAATTATTAAACTAAGGAAACACTAAGAATTAAAATATTTAAGAAAGAGAAATAAAAGTACACACCTAAATTCATTTTTAAATTGTATTTCCAATTTAAAAAAAAAACATAAATAAATAAAATTGAACAAAAAATATATAAAAATAAAATAATGTGAATTGCGAGCACCTTTCTGAAATTTTAAATTACAATTCTTAGAGAAGGAGAAATTTGATGAGAGAATGAAAAATATTTAGAATAAAAATAGAGAATGAAAAATATTTTATTATTTTCTAAATATTTTAGGTTAAGTCACAAGTTTCTCATCGAAATAAACATTACTATAAAATCAGAACATTAAGAAAATGGGAGGATTATGAATTAATAATTTAAAACAAAATAATCCTTTTTGGAACTCTTAAAAACATTATTTAAAGTAATTAAGAATTTTTACTGAGCAAGTTTTAAGCTAAGAAATTAGACAGAAATATACTTAACTCTGAACGAATATACCTTCCTTATGACAAATTTTTATTTGCGATACCCAAAATATAGAGGGTAGCCCCAACCAGCCATGTTGATGCAAATCAAAAAAATTTGAATATGATTTTTTTTGAAAATTTAATCTAAAGATAACTCTATTCAGAAAATAAATCCTAATAATTGTGTATTAGTTATCCTCATAGTCCTTATAATTGTTAAATCCTTATAATTGTCTAATAATGGTTAGAATTTTTTTTTTAACAGACATGGTCGAATAATTCTAGAGAAATAAAAGTTTAAAATAATAACTTTTATATAATAATAACTTTTAAAATAATAACTTTCTAAAATAATAACTTTTTAAAATAATAACTATATAATAACTTTTTAAAATAATAACTTTTATATGTACATAGTTTAAAATGAGATAAAAATTTGCCTTTTCAAATTTTTCTCCATTTATAAATAAATATTTTGGCGAAAGATTTTCTTTTTAATTACCTCAAATAGTTTCAAAGATACGGCTAAATATACAAAAAGTAAAATTTATATTAAGGCACTCTAAATTTCTACCACTCTCATTAATAAACTAGTGTAACCATATATTTCTAATTGTTTATACTCCAATATTCTACAATTGAAATTTGTCGAAAAAGAAGGCAATACTTTAGAGAAAGTATATTTTTGGTCAGATTTTGGTTATACTTATATTTATAATCTATAACATGAATATATGAGAAGCTGTACAGATAAATTCCTCATTTCAAATAATATTTGCTTAATAATACAATAAATATATAAGTAGTAATTTTATCTTCAGAAGTAAATTATTGTTCCTAACAATTATTTAAAGGTATCTTGTTTCAATAATTTTGTAAAATGTTTTGACAAAATGTCAAAAAAAAAAAATTTTTTTTTGTCCATAGACAAAAGATTTTGCTATTAAAAGGAGTGAATTGCAATGGTTAGTTTTTTTTTTCCCCATTTTCAATCTGTAAAAGGGAAGAATAACTTTTTTTAAAAGAGGGCTGCAGGAAAAGAAAAAAAAAACTCTTTTCTTGAGGGGCTTTTAGGGACTGTGGTTATTTAAGTTTTTTTTATCAATTAATTATTTCTTATATTAATAAGAACAATAACAATTTCTTAAGAATGTGAGTTAGTTAAAGAAAATTTTCTTTTTAAAAAAATTGAAATGCTAAGATATTTTGACACCTTCAATTAGCACCTCTACACTTTGGATTTTAAAAACTATAATTTGAGTGTCTTCACAAAGCGAATTAGTACCTGAACACTTTCATTTTGAAGGTCATAAATTTGGTATTTTATCGAAATTTACAGAAATTACCTGGACAAAAATTTTACAGATTTTTTTATGCTAGTTTATGTAGTTTTCTAGTAGCATCAATTAATTTTTGATTGGAATGCAGTGGGGTTCCCACATTAACCATTCTAGGGCTACAAGTCGTGCACCTTTTATATAATGCTATCTGTCGAGAAACTCTGAGGAACTATTTGATTTCAAAATTTAACTGTAACTGCCGTGTAACTGCAAAATTAGAAGTAAAGAAGAAGCAGAATGATCGCCTCCGAATTATGTGGTTGAAATGTGCTGTTCCTTTTCATAATATTAATATGCCGTTGTTTGTAACGTTAATATTAAATGTTTTCAAAAAATGGACAGGAATGACACTTTTACTTATGACATCTTTTTTTCAAGAGTAACGACTTTTTGAAGCAAAAGAAAAGCATTCTGTCTTACAGATAAATAGTAAGTTGAAGAAATGAAAAAAGAAAATACAGGTAAAGTAATTTTACCTTTAATTAAAAAGTTAAATAATTGAAGTATTGAATTTTACTCTACACTATCTTTTAAACAATACCTAGCTGATTGACCACTGCTCTTCCAAGAAACCCAGATGCTCCAAAAACTGTAGCAACCTTTCCATTAAAAGAGGATCGACCACCAGTTCCTCTTTTCAAGCTATGCAAGTCAGACTTGATTTTAGGAAATTTCTTATCAACAGAATCCACAACATCACTGCTGCTGCTGGAATATCGAACAGGAAGTTGGCGGATAACTATGAGTTGCAAGGATGAAAAAGCTGCAAATGAAACAAATTATCATTGACAAATAAATATTATTATTAATTAGAAAAATATTTATACCATGAAACAGTTAATAGAAAATTTGTTCTAAAAAAATAATATTGCATTTAAGATACTTCAAGAAATAAATACAGAACCTCGCTTATCTAAAGTATTTAAGACAGGTCAATCAAAACCTTTGAATAATAATTTTGGCTTGGTTACAAACTTCGCACGGAAGATAGATACCAATGGGCATTTTTGGAGATGGTCTGGGATTCCTCTTTAATGATGATCCAAAGACAACAGTGTGTTTGCACTTTACTGCCTTGCAATTAGAAAATCAACACAAGTGATATTAATATATTGTTTTTAATTTTGCTATTTCTTTTTCATTTGCTGGAATTTTATTTAATTACAATAACTAGATTATTAAAAAACATTATGGATTATTGACAGGGTATAATTATAATTCCAGATTTTTAAAATCATTAAAGGTTGTAAAAAAGTTCCAACCCCAGGATTCTATAAAACACCTTTTAGGAACCACTAAGCTAATGATTAAACACGATTAGCCAGGTATTGGACACAATGGCAAAATCAAAAATAAAGTCATGTCATGTGGTCAGATGTAACATGCTACAGTAACAAAACTACAGCAGTCGTTATTTTTTTATAGTTTGTTCTACTTTAAAAAAAAAAAGTAGAACACTACAAACTAAAAATTTTGTAGCAATTCATCGCAACTACTTTTAATGTACATTTGGAAACGATACAAGGTTCAAACCAACTAATTTTTCGAATATGATTGGTGTAAATCTAATATGGGTCCGTCAATATATGCAATGAGAGCGCCTTTATGACTCAGCTTTAATATGAATCATGTCTAATGATTCAGTGCAGAAAGTTTTTTTACCAGCAAGTTAAATATTGTATTCATATTTTAATGAGTAACATAAATTTGAACTTATTACTTTAATTAAAGAGCCAAGTTTAAGCAAAAAACCCCCCAAAAAAACACAAAAAAAAAGGAGAAAAAAAGCAAAATAGCACAAAATAAGATTACTTCAGATATTTCTATTTCTTGAATTATTAGACGTTTTATATATTTTATATAAAAAACGTTTCTTTTTAAAAAAATTTCAACAAAAAAAAACACCTAAGCTACAAAAAGTTTAAAATGAAATAAACTACAAACAGTGAGCAATTGAAAAATTTGCATGATTCCTGAGTTTTGAATTTTTTATGTTGCAATAATATTGTATGAAAATATTGGGATATCAAATGTGCTAACTACTGAAAACACGTCAGAAAAATAACTTATTTTTACGATGAAATATGGTCAGATAAATTGTATCAAAAAGTGGTTACTTAAATGCACATTAAGAAACAAGTTTATCCTAATAACATAGAAGTTAAAGTAAGAGGATCTTCAAAAATCACATGGGGAAAAAAATCCCAATAATTGCAACAAAAAAAAGAGAGAAATCGCTAAAATTTACAAGAAAATCAGCATAAATAAAGCAAGTCAATAAGAGATTATTTAAATGCAAGATTTAATTTTGCATATCGTAATAAAAATCGAAACTTTTAAAACCAGGAAAAAATGATTGAAGAATGACTAGGATTGGTGATGAAATCGGAAAAATAAAAAAAGCCCATCAAAAAATTAGTATTTAAATGTGTAATTTGAAACTCGCATATTGTAATAATATTGTAGCAAAACTATGGGATTTTCAATATCATGTAGAAAAGCAAAGCAATAACAACCAGTAAAGAAAAACATGTAGATTTACATTGAAATTGACATCAACAAAGCATGTCAAAAAGCTATTAGCTAAATAAGCGATTTATATGAGATATTTATTTAAAAAATGCGTAGTTGCTCTACATAACTGGCACATCATCTATCAAACGGTACCCAGGATAGAATCAAGTTAACTTTTCTCATACACTAGTGAATGGAATTGAATAATTGTAATGCTAGTTAAGCTATAATATAATATTTAAGTAAAAGTGACTCGAAATCTAAGATTTTTCTAAGCTAGTAAATTCTAACATTTTTTTGATAAAGGTATAGATCATTTCTAAGGGGAAATAGTGTAAATCTATTAGTTTCGGCATCTACAAGGTACCCGAAAACAGAAATTTCGCTTTTAGAATGAATATCTTACTTTTAAAATTAAGAAAATATTTAGTTTAAGCTTTGTGTAAAATTTGTGAACATGATATTCACTTCACTTTTTAGATAGAAACATTTTATAAAACTGTTTTCAAAAACAGATGCTAATAGGTGACGTAAGTAAAAAAAGATGGAAACAGTAATAGATATAGAACAATTAGAATTATAAAAGACAGGTATAGATTTTTGAAACACTTGACACTCTTAAATTAGGTATATAATGTGTTTATTATTGAATATTTGTTATTCAAAAAATACTTATAGTTTTGAAACATTTCATTCGTGCAATTTATTTCCTTTTAGCAAAAGTAAAAGCAATGACGAATTTCTCAAATTAAATAAATCTTACAATTTTTGGGAATATTATACATTGCTAAGGCCATTCTTTCTGTTTGTCAACAATCATTGAGTTGCCCTTAAAACAAGTTTAGAAGTTTTCGAAATATAATGTTTACATGTTTTGGTGTTTGCTCTAGCTGTGGAGCCTCTACAGAACTAAACCAGAACCAGGAATGCACAATTCTTCTCAACTCAACTCTCCCTTATCTTCTTCCGATGATGTCGCGGCTCTAGCGTGAAGCTGTCTGTGAAGATTGAAAAAATTTAAAATTATCTAAAAAGAATCGGTATAGTAAGGTAATTGCTTTGAGTTTTTTAAAATGTCATTTGTATTATATTTCATGTTAAGATTTTGAAATATTTAAGTATTTCTTTTATAACCTTTCTAAAAAGTCTGATTTTGCACGTGGCGGTACCCAGCCTAGTAGGCTTAAATATATGCGATATCAATTTTTAGAAATTTTAAGTTATAATAATAGATTCCGTAATTTTGTGTTGCTGTCTTTTTTTTTTCCTTTTCAAATTTTTATTTTTAATGTTTGCTTTGATATCAATCAACTGTTAGACGTATTTTATCTAGATCTCGTGTACCCTAAATATATCGATGGTTTATTGTCCTTGTATTAAAATTTAATTCTTATTATGATATTAATTTTATTTTCTTCTGTTTTAGTGATTAAAAATGCCTCGTGTGCCAACTGTACATAGTAAAACCTATGTAACACCACGACGACCTTTCGAAAAGGAAAGATTAGATCAAGAATTAAAGTTTATTGGTAAGTTATTTAATAAGAAACGTTAAATTTTATCTCAACTTTATTTTTCTACGATTATGCATTGTTGGGCGACTGGAATTGATCCTTCACTGTCTGTTTATGAATCCATGATTCCAATGGTCAATCATGCATGTACTGTTTTATCTCATTTATTGTCAGAAATTGTTAATTATTACAGCATATTTTGTATTTTGGACAAAAACATCAAGACTTACAGTTCTGAGTCCAGTTTTTATCTAAAATGTAAAGGCTCCAATTTATTTACTTAGTATTGTTTGTCCAAATCCTCTATTTTTATTTTTAGAATTAAGTAATGTAAAATTATTGAACTGATATTTGAAATTGAAAGTTGGAGATACTTTATCTCTTTTGACTCATTTTGCTTGTTGCAATGATAAGTGTGGAGTGGTTATCTAGGTTTTACTTTCCTAATTTCAGTATGAATTTTAAGTATTAAATAATTCTAACTTAAATACATAATTCATTTTATGATATTTCCATAATATGTTATAAGCAAATTTGCATTGGGCTATATCAAAATCCAGAAAAATTTTGCTACTTCATCAGCATGTACTACTACTCTTGGGGAGGGACAAAAATTAAGTACAATTTGGCACATTTTATTCCAAGGTGGTTTTGACAATATTTTCAATAGAATTCTGTTCGTTAAGCTCTGAGCAACTCAAAACAAGAGTGACTTCAATGACTATGGAATTTTTATGACACTGTTAATTATTTAAAAAATCAATTAGACTTAATATTGACTTAAATTTTTCAGTTGTTATTAAGTAAATGAAAATTTAACCATTTTTGGAGTAGAAATTGTTCTTTTATACGTGCTTTGGTTGGTCAGTGTAAAATTAAATAGATCAGTTTTTTTTTTGCGTCATAATTTTATCGACTTGCTATGTTGGTATGTAATAATCTGTCATTAAGTTACTATGCCCGCAGGCAATTCACTATAATGGGGTTGGGCTGTCTCATTTAACTATAGCCCACTTTTGACTAAAATGTAAATAATTCTAAAATATTATATTCTTTTTTAGGTGATTTTGGATTAAGAAACAAGAGAGAAGTCTGGAGAGTTAAATATACTTTGGCTAAGATTAGGAAAGCTGCTCGTGAATTGTTGACTCTCGATGAAAAAGATACTAGGCGTCTATTTGAAGGTAATAGGCAAAACATTTTGTTTGGTATTTGGTGTAATCTCGTAATTAGTGAAGTGCGTAGCTATTGAGTATATTTACCTGTTTGAGAGTTTCTTAAAATTGGTGATTATTTATAATTGAGTTAAGTATTGTCATGTGGAGTTAAATGTTCTCCCTGTATTACTTATGTAGTAGTTTATTGTTTCCTTTGTCACTATTTAAAGCCATCTGGTATTAACTTATCTGTTATGCCATGCGGTCAGGTGCATGGAATTTTTCGCTTCTTAACCACAACCTTATTCAGATCTTTTTATGAGGTTTTTCATGAGCAGCGTTAGTGTATAGTATGCAAGATCAGTCATAAGCTTAGAACATTTAATGTATTACACTTTTTAAACTTATATATAAACTTTTTAAACTTCCAAGAGTGTTTGTGTTCCAGATTTTTGTATTCCTGAATCTGTAGAATTGTCGTAATCTGCTAATCACTCTTCTTGCTTGTGCGATTTTGATGTCAATCATAGATTTTCATATTAATAATTTTTACAAATTGTTTGCCCCGCTTCCTATTCATACAAATGCACACATTTTTAAGTTTAATGTTGTGGTGCACGCGGTTGTAATATTATAATTCCCCAGTGGTCTGTTTGGGAGATATTTGGGTCCGTTAACTGGCTTTTCGCAAAATATCTTCATAAAAATGAACCCTTCACAAATTTGTTTATCTTTGTTATTGTTTTGATAATGGAGTAGACCCTTCCGGGAGGGTGGTTCGAGACGACCTAAGTTTAAATTCCAACTTGAGTATTCTAAGAGGATATTTCTGCTTTTACAAACATCGTGTGGCTGTTCTTATTAGTATTAAATTTATTATTTATTTATTTTTGTAAATAAATAATTGATCAAATTATATTTGTTCATCGCCCGGTGACTGAGTGGTAGCTCTTCACACTCCCGTGCCACAGGTCCTGGATTCGATCCTCGGGCCGGGCAAGACTGACTCAGCGTCTCATCCCTTTAGTGGGTTGGTAAGTGAGTACCAGGCATGCTTGGGAACTAAACACTGGAGTTCCGCATTTGGCTGACCACCTAACCAGAACATCTGCTCCTGCACCCCGGAGCCCAAGGTCACGAAATGTGAGGTGGGCACGGTAGGCCTTGGCCCTCAATGGGCTGTCGCGTCACTGGGTTTTGTGTAGTTTGTAGTATGTTTGTTCATAAGATTATTTAGTTGAATATTATGTAAGTAAAAATTAATTTCTATCAATTTCTTAAATGAAATATTCCCATTAATGAATAATGCCCATTATTCGTCTGAAATGAATATTATGTATGGACAGTGAAATGAATATTATGTATATCATTATAGCCTAAATATTTTGTATGTTGCATCTCTGATTTAGTAACAGCAATTGTATAGCAGAGTCTTGTATTTATTTACAATTTAAAAACTTCTTGAAAAAGTTTTAGGCAATTTTTGCAGTAACCGGGGCCCTATTTGTACAATTTCACAAAAGCAGGACCCTGGTTGAAAGAATGCGATTTGATGCTTATTTTGTATTCACAAATTATGTAGTTTTTTCACAATTTTACGAACACAGGACCCTTCACAAAATGTCTGGACAGGCCCCTATGTTCTCACAATCTAAAAATTATGCATCTTTTATCGTATTTAGGTGATTTTAAATTCGATATCACGATTTGTATTTTTGGTAATGGGAAGCAATATGATTCATATTTATGAGAATTTGAATTCAAATGTTGTAGATTCTTCTATAAAGTAAGTTCTTTCTTGAACTGAATGCTATAGATGTGTGAATTTCTTCATTAGAATGTAATTTAATTATGAATGCTATTTCAAGTAATTATTTCATGTGAAACAAGCTTAGTTTATAAATTGATCTCAATGTAGAATCATCAAATTTCAGGCTTTTTCACTTTGTGGCAACCCTGAATTAAACACATAGTTATAGATATTCATTGGAGAAATGCAATTTGCGAAGCATTCCAAGCTTTTAATGTTTCATGTTTTTCTAATCGTATAGTTAAAATCAGTGAGACCGATTTCGAAACTATTCTTTTGGTTGACGCTGGGCTGCATAGTCCAGAAAGTAGACATGAGTGTTATAGCAGGATAAAATAACTTGTAACTAGAAATTTAATGAAGACCTTGAGTTGGTTGATTGAAAAAATTAACTCAATTAAGATTATTTAATTTTATTTTTTTATAAATCAGGGACCTATCCTGGCCAAATTTGCAACCGTTTAGCTGTACCTTCACAAATTCAACCTTAAAAAGGCAGTTTCACAATATACTTTTTCTTAAAACTTTATTTTTGTATCCTTGCATCCAAGAAGGTATCCCTGCATTGGGTACCAGGACATATGGGTATTGGTGGAAATGAGCTGGCTGGTGAAGCAGCACGGGCTGGCTCTAATGAAATTTTCTGGGGCCCTGAACCTGCCCTGCGAATTTCTCCCTCATTTAGGGCAGGGTTGGGTTCTTGACGTCAAAAAGTGGTTTTTGACATGACAAGGGTATAATACTGGTTTAAACCGTCAAAAATGTCAAAAACTGAAGTTTGCCAAGAAAATATATAAACTTCAAAACTACCAACAGTTGCCATGCATTATATTGAAATTTAATNAATCGGTGTATTAGATGAAAGCAGAATGAAGCTCGATTATGTGCTTGGTCTGCGGCTTGAAGATTTCTTGGAAAGACGCTTACAGACTCAAGTGTTCAAGCAGGGTCTTGCAAAGAGCATTCACCATGCTAGAGTTTTAATTAGACAAAGACATATTAGGTGAGTTTATTGATTTCTTTTCCTCCCATCCGAACGGATTTACGATGTACAGGGTCCACGGGGAAAACCTGGAAAATACTGGAAATTGAGTATTTCATACACTGTGGATTTTTCTTTTCGTGTTTTAAACAGTGGTTACCTCTTAGTGTGCATTCTGTGGGATATTTAGGGAAGGTGTTTATGCTATACTGTTAAGCAGTTCCTTTTTTTTCTCAGCAATTAAAACTATTATATTAGCCCAGGCAAGAACACAGTGTTTGTGTTTCCTAGCAGTGTAATTAGCATTTTTTTCTACTAGGTATCTTATATTTCAGGCAAGAAAAATTTTCACGTTTCTGGTTATTTTGATCAAAGTGAAAGTTAATCAGTATTGAAATTTCTTCAATTCTTGAAGTTGATTGTTGATTCTTTTATGAACCTGGATGCCACTCTTCAGTCCTAATGAGCTCAGTGAGTAACAATCAGAAAACTAAACTCCGTCTATTGATGAGTATCCAGGGTGTGCGTAACGTTTGTAAAAAGTACTTGAAGGTGCTTTTTGGGGGGTTTCGTTTTTAAAAGCTTTTAAATGTGCTTTTTTCAGCTGCCGTTTGTAAAAGGTACTTTTTTCGAATAATTTTTCCCCCCCTTCAGTGGTATCTGGTGGATCCCATGCATTTCACGAAAAATGGGGAGTTTGCTACATAATCATTCACGCGCACTCTTGAAACCGAAACCCGAATGCTTCAATTCGTATTGAGAATATCGGATCCTTATGAAATGTTTTTAATTTTGTTCTTGTTTATTTTACTTCTAACACTTTTTTTGACAGAGGGGATAAGAGTACTTTTGTTCTGAGTTCAGGGTCAAGTTGAATTCGCTCGGTGATGTGGGAAAGTACTGATTGTTTCGGTTTACGCCCATTCCTTCTTTTTTTTTAACATTACAGAAGTTTTTGTTTTCAATAATATCATTGATTGAATATGAATTTTTTGAGTGCTTGAAAAGTTTTTAAAAAGTGCTTATTTTTGATTCAAAGATTTGGCTATGCACCCTAGTATCTCTTTCCCATTTGTTTCTTTAAATTAAAATATTACATTTTAATAAATAGATATTTTTCATAAATTATTGGAAAATTATCAGGTGTTTCTCCAAAACGAAAAAATGATTTTGATTTAAACACCTAGCCTAAACAAAATTAGTACTATTTTTGTACCTAAATTTGCTTGAATTTTCAATTGTCTCCAATGTTAAAAGCTGACCAAAGTCAAATTAAGATTTTTTTTAAAAAAAATTTCTTTGGGTGAAGCTTGGCGATAATGGATGACCCATTGTCGTGGAAACTTATATTTTGAAGTCAGTGAGCTGAGAATTATGATAAACAAAGTGCTGAGTCAATTAGTAAAGAAAGTTGGTTATTAAAGTTCTCCTAATTTTTGTACTTATTTATTATTGCTTGGATTTTTAAATAAGTGTTAATAATGCATAATGAAGTGGACTTTATTTATAGAAATCAATTCAAAACTTTTTGCGTTAAATATTTGGTTTCTTGTTTATTCAGAGCTCTCTTTCTAAATTTTTAAAAAAGAAAACTGAACTTTCTGGTGAATTAAATGCCTGTTAATATTCTAAATTATGAGTAAACATAATACATAACATTTCAAGTATGTTTAATGTCTATCATAACTGGGTTTAATGTACGGGATGTTTTTCCCGTCCATGTTGGCAGCTATGCATACCTCCTGGAATAAGTTATTTTTCTTTTATAGGGTCAGAAAGCAGGTTGTAAATGTTCCCTCCTTCATTGTCCGTTTGGACTCGGAGAAACACATTGACTTCTCACTGAAATCACCCTTTGGTGGTGGGCGTCCTGGCCGTGTGAAGAGGAAAAACACAAGGAAGGCTGCAGGTGGAACAGCCCAAGAGGATGAGGAAGAAGATTAATTGTTTTGTTCTATTCTAATAAATCTACCAATCCAAGTTTTTTGTACTCTTTGTTTTGTTTTGATAATTTCAGATCTCTAGTGTTATGAATGTCAATTCTCTATTCATATGTGTTGCTCATTAGCATAATTCTAATTCATTAATACTTTTAGGAAGCCAGTGTGTTACTTAAGGCTGAAATTAAGTTAAAATTCCTCTATGGTTAAATTTTGACTGAATTCTTATTCTTGTTAAGATGTAAAAACACTGTAGTAAAATTCCCAACAGGTTAACTGCTATAGATAGAAATGATAGCGATTTAAAATACAGAAATTAAAGGGGAGAAATCTGGTAAATTAAAACTGGTAGTAATGTGTATTTCGTATTATACCTAATATCAGTGATTAATATTGATTAGTTAATTTATATGTCAGCAAGTAACAATCCATTGGACAGTTGTGTAAGCTTTTCTCCTTTCACATTACCAGTTCACAATTGAAACATCGATAGACTAATTTTCACTATGAGTCAATAGCCATCAATTAATATTATAGTTATTTATTATGTTCACAGTAGTTCGTAGGGGTACTGTAAATTAAGGATTTATTTTACTTATTTCAGTTTGTATGTGCACTTTTAAGATCAAAATTTTCCGAAATAATCATTTGTTCAAACAAATTGAAAAATAATTTTTTATGTATAAGATTTCAGAATTCCAGAGGAACAACATAAGTAATTATCAATGATGTATATATTAGAATAGAAATGTTATCAAGGCCTGACAATATATTGAATTCACAAGTTCTAATCTAAGCATTTTTTTCTCAACTTCATAAAGAAATAATCAAATTATTTACGTCTGATTTTTTAATAAAAAAAAAAACCGGATAATTCTTATTTAGAGTACTGAGAAACTTCCGTTATTTTGTGGTCACTTTTAAGAATTCTACATTTCCATATTTAAGAATAATAAATAAAAATTTATATATTTAATCATCAGATATTATTTTAATTGAAATTGGACTGTGAAGAAGTTATATGAGTTCTTTTTGTAATATTTAACTTTTAAACAATAAATGTCTTACCTTTTTGTAAAGCAATCGAATGAGTTAGAGCGATGTTGTATTAGTAGTTACAATTAAGATTACCATTCGNGTGCGTTTTTATCGTTAAAAATTTTTTTGTATCATTAAGATTTTTAATAGTAAAAGTTATGGTATGAAACTTTTCATTAAAACATTTGAGGGGTAATGAAGAGTTTTCAGTTCAATCTAAATCAGAAAACTAATAAAATTCATATGGAAAACTAAAATTACTTTTAAAAGTGAGTTTTTTGTAATTGCATTGAATGACACCAATATTCATTCCACTGGGTGGTGCCTTGACTTGTGTTGCAATTTCCAAAGTTAAGTATCCCCCTATTCAATTTAATATTGATGTTTTGAGTACTTATTGATGAGATTTTCGTTTTCGATTTCCATTATGTTGATTTTTCCCTTTCCTAAAAGTAGGGAAAATAAATTTCAAATACATATAAAACATTCTTAGTTATGCTAGCAATAATAGTGTTCAAATTTCAAGCAATTTTTTCATTTGTTGAATCAGCGTTTTAGAAGTCTATTTCGTTTCTCAATCGCCTTTTCAGCGGTTATTGCTACGAAATTCTGCATGAATTTCGAATTTGAGTAATCACTTTTCATTATATATTGGCTGAATCAATTAATGATACAAGATAAAGATTCTTAGAAAAAGTGTGTTTTTTTTTTTAATGAAAAAGTATTTTTTAAATGAATTCTAGTAATTAAAAGTATTTAATTTTCTGCAATTGTGCTAATTTTTTTATATAAAAATTTAGTGCCAGAACACTAACGTTTATATGAAAATTATCATATTTGCCACCAACTTGACTAAATGGATCATGGTATATGACAATTAAGTCATTTAATAAAATTTTAGTCTTATTTTTGTTCTTATTAGGCAACCCTGTATAAGTGAGACTTGAAAACTACCCAACTCTCCTCTGCAATCATTTCAACTTTTGAATTGGATTCTCTTTTTTGTCTTATTTGATTAAAACAGAAAAAATACATAGGAAACAGTACCTAACTTGTCTGTTTAGCAATGTTATATTTTTTGTATATCTTGCCGCTTCTAAACTATTAGTTCGATCGTCTTGGGATTGGTCTCATATAATTGCGCGAACAATTGCATTGGAAAATTTGTATTACATGTTCATGTTAGGTATGTAGAGTATCTACCACTACAAAATTACAATTCACTAGTATATAAGACATGTTAGTCTGGGTACCTTTTCATAGATGAAAGTTGACTTAGTTGAGAATTACGACTCTCTCCACAGATAGTTTCTGGTTAGCAATATAAAGTGTATTCATTAGTCAGTGCTAAAAAAAGATATTGTTTATACCTAAAAATTCTTTAAACTTTTTGTTTTATTGACTCGTGTATAATACGCGAAGGCAAAAAAAATATGCAGGGGAAAAAATTGTCAAAGGATATGGTATAATAAAAACGTATTCATAGTTTCTTGTTCCAAATTTAATAGATTTTATAATGCAGATTGAAAACAAAAATTTAGTTTTAAATTTTTTCAATACATTACTCAGTTTTGAACATTTACCAATTTACAGTTTTGGGTATTGATTCCATTTAAAAATCTATAGACACCAGTATTATTTATATTTAACCTCTCTTGGAAAATTTATACCTACGTGCTTGAGTTAGCTCAAATGCTTGATATAGAACTATTTTATTTTAAAAACCGTGGTTGTGCAGTTTACCCTATTTTGGGTTTACGACTACTAATGTTCAACTCCACAGCCTTGTAATTTTGAGCCAATCCAGAGGACAATGAAACTCCTGGATGTTATTGAGGACTTATTGATTCGACAGATTTAGCGTGCATCAGTCACCATTTACTACACGAGGATTTTTCAGCCGGCGATAGGAGTACCATTGTCTTCGTGGTTGAAACTAAAAGGCTACGGTTTTAAACATCGATAACCCTCATACCGTCAACCCCAAAAAAATATGTTTTGCATTTCATATTCATCTAAGATCATTTTGAAAGAATTAATTCTTTGTCCTTTCACTTGCAATATATAAAATTAACTTTAAAGGACACAAACTTTTGACAGCTTTTCAGACTAAAATACCCAATTTTCTAGACTGCGGCATATATATTTTCAAAAGCGGGAGAAAAAAAATTATTAAAATAAAAATGCTCGTAGAGGAACACCTTTTTTAGTGTTAGTTCCTATATCTTAATAGTTAGCACTAACTAAGTTATTAGAACAGCCTTACGACCAGTTATAATCGTGACGTAGTTCGTGAAAATCCGATCATTAGAACAAGTTATTCTGGGTGATACTTTTTTTTCATGGTACATACCACTTCACCTTGAGCTACTTATTAGTTTTGCAAATATAAGAAATAGTCTGGTATTTTAAAAACTTAACCAGTGAGATTGTATTTGTTCGTAACAATGAATGAGAAACAATAGGGCATTAAATCATGCGCGTTTAAATTTTCGTCTCATATCAAAAATAGTATGACTGAAGCAGCTGTCGCATTTTGAAGAAATGCCCTTATTAGAACGCCAATTAGAATAAACGGCTGTTTTGAATTTTTTTTTTTTTTTTAAGATTATTGTCTGAAAATAAAGGACAAGTATTTCATCCGATTAGTGTAGGCGTTGTAGAATAGAAATTACCTAATTGGAATAAATAAAGGCCCTAAGTTTCAACAAGATAGGGTGCCTCTAAGGGGGAGACATATTTTAATTTATTTTTAATAATTATAAAACATTGTTTACCGGTATTTTTTAACATTGGGTAGATGGTGTTAGTGTGAACATTTTTTTCTTCAGAATTTTTTTTTAGTAAAATGGAGGAATTTGTGGGTCGACAGATTTAACATGCATTAGTAACCATTTACCTTCGGCAGCGGGGATCGAACCCACGATTTCATGGGCCCATTGCCCTACCACTCGAGCTAACCAGTCCCTTTAGAAAAAATTAATAAAATTTTAAATAACTGGGAAAATACTCATATGAGGTCTAGCAAAAAAAAGTTTCCATTTTCTAAGCTGCCTCTGCCCCCTCTTTCTTTCCTAAAGCTATCATTTTTAGATACATTATAAATAAAATTTTAATGCATATATATTTTTGTTTTGCTTTCAAGAAAGTAAATGATGCTGAAAAATAATCGTATAGATCCTAGTGTTGAAATTTTTTTTTTTTCATTTTTCCTGAGGAAGACTTTGCCTCCTCTTCCCTCTTAACACCTTGGGTTTTACATTTCCCTCCCCCCTAAAATCATAAATTTTAACCTAAAAGTGGCTCAGAGGATAGAGCGTTCGCCTTATGCGAATCGTCGATGCGAATTCTACATCCGGCTTGCACCGACCACAGTGCTGACGTAAAATATCGTCAGTGGTAGACGGATCATGGGCTTGAGTCCCCTTGCCGTCTGGCTGACCGAGGGAGGTTTTCGTGATTTCTCTGTCCATGTAACGCTAATGCGGGTTAGTTCCATCAAAAAGTCCTCCACGCACGCAAATTTGTCCCCAATACTTGATCCAGGAGTTCCCTTGTCATCTGGATTGGGTTCAAAATTACAAGACTACGGAGTTGAACAATGGTAATCGTAAACCCTAAATTGGGGAGGCTATTCAATGACTTTTCTAAAGGAAGAATATTGTAATAAATAAAAAAATGTCTTTAAACTGATAGTTAATTTTCATCAAATTTATTACGCAATTAAAAAGATAGGTTATTATTTAGCATAGTTAAAATACAAAACATATAGATTGGATTGGATAGATGTAATCTTTTCTGAAGAGGATGTTTTGATTTTGAAGAAGTACGAAAATAGACATAAGACTTAGGTAAAAATTAAAAGTAATATGCACCGGCCAAATTTAAAAAAAAAAAAAAATTGTACGTTATACCTGAAACCTAATTGAAACATATATTTATTAAATCTAATTATTCGGTTTATGAGCAATAATGATTTTCACAATCAAATATGTTTTTATT